TCTCCCTCTAAAATGTCGTTTGTCCTTCAAGTTATCACATTCACTTTAGTACAAATCCAATTATACCAGTAAACACACATATCCTATGGAATATCAGTAGTTGTATATTAAGTGTATGAAATAGTGATGTAAAAATTTAAGAAATATTAATTTAAGAAGTTTTTGTACAACATTTGTAACAAGTAAGTGATTTTATTCAAATTTCATGATATTCTCCACGAGTATTGTAACTAGTGGCAGAATCGTACGGTTAGCGTGCACTAAACTGCGATGTGATTGATGCACAGCAAGACCTTTAAAATATTTTTTTATGTCCATGATATTTTTTAAAGCTTTAATCAACCAAAAACATTTCATACGAATGATAATCTATTGAATTGTTAATGCTTATTTAAGTCAGGTTATAAATCACTGTTGAGTTATTCTAGGCGTGGTATGGCACAGATTTAGGGCGGTTTTTAAGCCTACTGGTTCGTGTATTTTTTTTTAGCTAATTTCGATTATGCCATTGTTAAAATACATTCATAGAATTAATATTTTAGGCTTTTGTTTTTCTCTAAAAATATATATTTTACGTCTTTTCTACACTAATATAATAAAGCTCAAGGGCCTTTTTTGTTTGTTTGTTAAACCACGTTAATTTCTGGAACTATTGGTCAGATTTAATTAATTCTTCTTTTCTTATTTGAGTATTTATTGAGGAAGGTTATGCTGTATGCTCAGTTTTCATAATGATGGGTAATTAAGTTAAGGTATGAACGCGAAACAAACAAACTTACATTTTTTTACATTTATAATATTAATGTATGTATGTATTAATGGATCCTGTTTTAGTAAAAGCTTTTTACATGTTTTTAACGGATTTCTTATAAGTCTTATAAGAAGACGTGTTTATAGTCAGACATGTATGTAGTGGGAGAGCCATGCCTTGGTACAAATGGGCCGGTTCGAGCGGAGTGATACCAGGGCTTCACAGAAAACAGATGTTAAGCAATTATTTCGTTGCTGCAAAGCCCTCCCCTCCTTCTCCTATTTCTTGGGAGGGGAATGACACAAAACAAGGCAACGCACTTGCGAGTAGGGTGGTAGGTGGTGTCAACAGCTTGTGGTGTCAATCGACGAAGTACTCTTCCAATGACCCGTCTGATCGTGTGTGCCCTTTTTTTTCCCCTCGGATACCACCGGTTTGGTGGCATGTCGGACTCAAACCGACTAAAACCGCACGCGTTCTCGGGTACTAATAGCCGGGGAACCAGGTATACCCTAGAAACTAAGTCCCTGGTGCTGATCGTGTGTGCCCTGTACTTTCTATTTGCGAATGCCTGTCAATACTATGTTATTAGTTTTAGTGTCAAGACAGTGTATTTAATGCTGTTGGGATTCGGAAAATAATTAAATAAAATATCACAAAAACATGAACGTATTTGCAGTCGTAAGCTAATTTATGATAGTAGTGAAAGTAGGTCCTAACAGAATCGTGCCCTGCAGAGTCTTAAGCCACAAACTGGTTATTTTAACCTTGACAAAACTGATAATTTTAGACACCATTTTGTTTATTTTATCAAAGTGATGTCAATTGACTTGATATGACACAATTATGTATACGAGACATCACCTATTGGTGGAATGTCTACCGTAATTAATTAAATTTTAATGAATAGCAGAGTAATCTGGGTAATCTGACCTTGATTTCCAAAATTAAAAAATCGTGTTTTTCCTAATTCTTAGAAGTAAAATACATGGAAAAGATGAAACGAAAAGCCGATTTTTGACCGAATAAATAAAATTTCAATCATTCTTTAATTTATTCCATGCAAAATTACAGTTTTCTAATTCTTATGATTTTATGAAAACCCAGGAACGAACTCATATACATATGTGGGGACGATATATACGGAACACGGCACCCGAAAACGATGTATCTAATGGGTGCCATTCTGATCGACCGATATCACAATTGAATTTTTTTGGTCGTGACAAATAATAATAACCTCACACATCTCACACACGTCCGTCTGATCCCAAACTAGGCAGAGCCTGTACTATGGTAACCAGACTGCTGATAAACATACTTATATATTTCTAAATACATACATATTATAGATAAATTACACCCAGACACAGAACAAACCATCGTGCTCATCACACAAATATTTGTTCTGGGTGGGAATCGAACCCACGACTTAGCGGCTCAGCGGTCAGGGTCACTAACCACTAGACCAACGGGCCCGTCAAATTGTTCAAGCCTCAAAAGCAATTTGTGTAAAATGTGCCAAATTATTATTATTAATAATGAAAACCATCATCATCATCAATAGCCTTTAGTAGTCCACTGCTGGACATAGGCCTCTCCTTAGAAAGGAGGTTTTGGCCTACTATACCACGCTGGCCAGACGGGTTGGTATAGGGTTTGTTTCAAGCTTTCCTTCTCTTTTGCAGTGCTGTTGTCCTGTACTTTGCTCCTTTAGTCAGCTCTTACGAAACGCATGGGGTGAATAGAGGTGGTGACAGTCTATATTTTATAATTCGTCACCACAGGGACTATTAATTGTTGTTGACTTATTAATGAAAATTGTGTCTAATTATTTCAGTAATAAAACAATTCAATAAATCCATAGATAAAACAACAATCATAGGTTGTTTTTAATTAAGTTACAATGACTTTGGTAGCAGTAGGTATTAGGTCAATACACCCATAAATTTTATCATTTTTTGTTTATAGCATTGCTGGTATATTTAGAATGTTTTTTAGATAAAAAGTGAATAAACTTACATTAATTAGTTATGCTATTAAGATTAAACAGTGAATACACAGAAAAACAATCAATAATGTTATTAAAAGAAAGTCAAATATCAGAAAGAAATCAAATTAAATAATGTTAATTAGATTAAAAGTAAGATAACTAGTCCAGTTGTCGACTACCGGACTAATTTAGTTGGTAACCACTAAAGCACAAATATCAGTGTATAATTTTGTGACTAGACCATCAGACTAGTCGACTACTGGGATATCTTGGCTTGTTAATTAATTATAAATAGTCTTCTAACTGTTCTTGCATCACATCACATCAACAGCCTTTAATAGTCCACCGCTGGACATAAGCATATCCTTAGAAAGGAGGTTTTGGCCTACTATATCACGCTAGCCAGACGGGTTGGTATAGGGTTTGTGTCAAGTTTTCCTTCTCTCAGTAGTGCTGGTGTTCTGCGTAGTTTTTTTCCTTAGTCGGCTGTTAGGACACCCACGGGATGAATAGGGGTGGTGACACTCTGTATTCTTAATCCGTCACCACACAGACCTCTTGCATATGCGTCATATACATTATTATGCGTCTAGAGAAACACACTGCTATATAAATATAATATATTTTTTTATTTTTTTTTGGGACTAATCCCACCCACACGCCCACCACTGTAACTCCTGTACACCAGGATCCACAGCAGTGACCCACGAACACACCGAGTTATGACACTCGGGAAGTCCCAGGAAGAAATTAAACTGTCTTGGAACCCGCAACGAAATTAATCAGAAGAAAATTGGAGGAGTTGGAAATATAATAGTAATACATCACACATCTCACACCAGGATGTCTGATCTCAATGCTTCAATATGCATTCTCTATCGTATATATCATGGAGAGTGCTCCGAGGAATTGTACGGACTAGAACCGGCCGGACTTTCCACCACCGATCCACACGGCAAAATTTTCATTCCCATCACCTGGATAATTGGCGCTCCAAAAATGTACGCTTTTCAAGACACTTTTTGCCTTGCACAACTAATCTGTGACAAAATTTATCGTCTGCGGTATTTACGGACCGATACGGCCTTGAAACCTTCAAGAAAAGAGCGTACTCTTTCCCAAAAGGCCGGCAACGCACTTGTGACTCCTGAGTTGGTCACATGGGCGGCGGTAGTCACTTTCCATCAGGTGACCCACCCGTCAGCTCGTCTGTCCCCTCTAACATAAAAATAAACTAGGTGGAGCCTGTACTATGGTAACCGGACTGCTGATATACATACTTATATATAGATATCTAATAACATACATATTTAGATAAATTACACCCAGACACAGAACAAATGATATTGCTCATTACAAAATTATCTGTCCACCTTTGGCTTAGTAGCCAGGGTTACACAGGTCAGTCAAGTCAAAATTGGCCATTGCCAGATAGTCAGCTTGCTTTGATCGAACTGTTTGTGCCAACCTTTTGTTGTCTTAAGGCGATTTAGCATAAATAAATAGATAATGATGACACCATGTCGATCAGGTCCATTAAGTAGTCCATAAGGTGGTAGTGAAATAGCGAAATAAATATGACCTGAACATACACACGCCCACACACACACACACACACATACACACTCACACATACATACACATGCATGCGTACACACACACACACACAATAGTCTATAAATATCTGTTATTCCTTCCTATATTTAATATTCTATAGTAACCTGTTACTATGTCAGCAAATTTTATCCTGGGGGGGCCTGGTAATCTGTGTGACAGGGACACCTAGTACGGATACCAGTCTCCCACAAAGGAATTAAACGTACTCTCAATTTATTTATAAGTTTTAATTTTAAGGAACCTTTGTGGAAGAGAAATAAACTTTATTATTATTATTATTAAGTTCAGATTGGTAACCTCGATTGGATGGATTGTTGAATAAAAGCAATAGTTTGGGCAGGTCATGGTCGCTCGCCGACCTCCATCTCAAAGTCGGTGACCTCTAAGCGAACTGATTAAATATTGATACATTATAAATAGCGACTTTATTTTACAAATATTCTTCTTGTTTTAAATTCATATTTTCTTTTGCAGGAATACTGTCAAAAACGTGGATGATCTAACTTATGAAGTACAGCATTTACTCGTAATTCGGATTTTAAAATGCATAAAATTACCTGTATACTGCTACTTATTTTATTAAATAAGTGTTTTAGCCAACACGCAATATTAAATAAGACCGAATTGGTATTTGGTTTTATGGTAAGTTTCAATCACATGTATCGTATTTATTCCAGGTATCAGCTCGACCAGAGCAATGTCACGGCCTCAAAGCAAACCAGAGTTGAAAAATTCTTAAGTTGCATGTTATCGAGTGAGTAATGCTACAGGAAGTGTGAGTTTATTTCACATGAACTAGCTCTCGACACCGTGAAGATCCAGTAGAAGTGAAATAAACTCGCACTGGACCCTCAGAAGACCCTTCCGTCCTAGTCCTCCTTATTAAGATTTTTTTAAAGAGAACTACCGCACTATTAATAAATCCTGTGTCGCGGGGGACTTTACAAACATACATGAAACGGACAAAAAAATCATCCAGACTTAGAACAACGATTTGTGGATCCCACAAAGTGTTGTCCCATGTAGTATTTGAACCCATAACACTCGGCGCAATAGGAAGCGGCGTGGCGACCGCTTAAACCACTACGCCATTCGTGCTGTCACTGTGAAAAACACAAAAATTTAACTGACCTACCTAGACAATTTTGTACCTGTCTGTACTTTTAAGCTTTTCAACATTTAAACATAATAAGTATATAATTATGCTCATACACGATTATCAAAGCGATTATACAACAGATGTCACATACCTTCAAATAGCCTGACGTTTTGACCAGATGGCACAAGCCGTGGTCATAAGCGAACTCGGGTCAGACCACGCCAAAGTAAAAAAAACCTGTTACGTAATCGCGTTAATTACCATGTATGACTGCCCTTAATTCCTATAAATTTTATCTGGTATTCGTTTTAAATAATGGTATTATATTTGGAAAACAAAATAAATATTTGTGGGATTTCTTTAACACTGGACCATGTTTCTAAACGTAAATCACAGCACAATAAACAGCCTTGTGGTTGAAAAGGTCATTCTGACGGTAACTATGTAGTATGTTGCGGTTTGGTCTCCACTTAAGAGAACTGCATTCTGTCGCTGACAAGATACTGGCCATGGTTTAGATATCTCGGTTGTGTTTCCTAACTGGGTTACAATTTCTAAACATGATTTAGTATTAGGTACAATGAAATTGTTAATTATTTGAAACTAGCTATTGCCTGTGGGTTCGCTCGGGTAATTAAATCTTATTTCGTGTGTCTAACTTTGAAAATCACGAACCCTTAACGGGTAAAATTTTCAATAATCCTTTCTTAGTAGGTGCTTACAACATAGAAATCATAAAAAAACTATTTGATGATTTGATATTTTATAGTTGTATAAGAATTAACCAATTTATTTACAGATAATAACGAAAAAATTTTGCTCCAGTCAATAATATCCTGGGAAATATTACACACGGCTCAATAAAATTATTTCATAGGAGCTGGTTCCAGCGACTTCGTTCGCGTGGAATTTGAAAAGCGCAGCGTTAGTGGGTTCGATTCCCGGACCGGGCAAAAATTTATTTTATAAATAAATTTTATAGGGTTTTTCTGAGAGAAAAAATAGCCTAAGTTACTCCTTATAAAGAAAGCTACCTGGTAGTGAAATATTATCAACATCGGTCCAGCCGTTTTGAAGATTCACCGAAACAAACAGACAAAAAAAATTTAAACTGGTTTTTAGGCATAGGTATCGTGCAAATATGTGTGTGAGCATGAAAAAACCTATTATTTTGACATTACATACGTACACTTCAATTTTATTTATTTGTATAGGTAATATTATTACAATATCTTTTTAAATTTTCAGGTACATCGGCATGGTGACCGAGCCCCAATACCGTTGACAATACAATACATTGGTAATTCTCAGGAAGTATTGGAACTCACAAATAAATATGGCTATGGACAACTTACTGATGTAGGTACCTATATTTATTCCAACAGCAATACATTGTCGAAGCTAGAATAATTGCAAGTTCCTTAATAATTGCGTTCAGTAAATACCAACCCGTCTGAGCCGGTTCTACAGTAGGCCAAAACCTCCTTGCTAAGGAGAGGCCTATGTCCAGAAGTGGACTATTAAAGGCTGTTGATGATGATGTTGAAGAAATCGTTGATTGGTAACTATCATAGACTTTATTACATGATGGTGTGATGTAATGTGTGTGTCAACATTTTAATGAAATGTTTTGTTTATAATTTAAATCAAAGATAATTGACAGGCTGATTCATCAACGTAGAGCCTAAACCGCCTGAAATTTTGGAAATTTCCACCCAAGGCGGTGATGTACAATTGAATGGAATTAGGTCATTTCGAATCGGAGCCGGAACCGAACGAAGCCGGGCGCAATAGCTAGTATTACTTCGTTCGCTTGATTATTTCTGATTTCGTATTTCTAATTTTCGAAATGACATAATTCCATGCAATCGTTCATTACTCCTTTACCGCCTTGGGTGTGAAATTACCAAAAAAGCTTTCTTAGTGGGTCTTTAAAACAAAGAACGCATCAGCTGCTAATATTTCTGTGGATACCAGGGGTTTAGGCTCTGCGTTGAGGAATCAGTCGATCAGGGCAAGTAATTTCATATGTATGGATTTAATCATCTCTAATCTGTTTTAACTTATTTATGAATCTTCTTAAAAATACAATCAGAAATAACAAAGATTAACTAGAAATAATTCCGTTACCGTGGGATAGCCATGCTTCGGCACAAGTAGGCTGGCTCGATCGTAGTGATACCACATCATCATCATCAACAGCCTTTACTACTGCTGGACATAGGCCCCTCCTTAAGAAGGAGGTTGGTGATAGCACGGCCTCAGAGAAATCCAGGGTTAAGCAATTCTTTCGTAACTTTTCACACCGAGTAAGTGAGATTACCGGAGATTATAGATTGTCTCTCCCTTACTCTAGGGGGAGGAAAGTATGCATATATCATCACTTACCGTCTGCTCGATTGATCCCTATAACCTATAAAAGAAATCTAATCTATTTGAATTGTGACAAATATAATAAGAAGTCGATTGATGATTTAATCAAAAATAAACCTTTTTTAGGCAGGCCGATTATGTGGCTACAAACTGGGCAAGTATATACGCCGGCGATACGGCAGCTTACTATCAACCCGTTATAACAAAACAGAGATATACATACGTTCCACTGATTCTACGAGAACTAAAATGACCGTACTTGCTGCCATGGCTGCTGTGTATCCAGCAGGGGAGGATAATTGGAGTAATGATGTGAATTGGACACCAGTACCATATACAACATTACCTGTTAAATATGATGACGTAAGTTAAATATTTATTTGAATCTTTTACACTTTTTTACACCAGAACTACCTGTGAATTCATTTAATCATCATCATCATCACCTTTAATAGTCCACTGCTGGACATTGGTCTCTTCTTAGAAAGGAGGTTTTCTCCTACTGTACCAGGCCGTATTTGTGATTTGTCAATCAACAGGCACTTTACCTATCTAAAGTTTGCCTGTAAGAAATTGCATTTTAGCGATATGTCCTCAATTTGTTCATGTTCATTTATTTACCTTACTCTTGTAAAAAAGAAGGTGTGCAATAAAGTTAATTCTATTCATGTTAGTCAACAAATTTTCTAATCGAATGTTTTAGTAATCCACTTATTAATACGCAAAGAATATTGTTTGTATCCCTTTTTAAATAAACATGGCGCCAAATCAGATTAGGTAAACTTAATGTTCATACGTAAAAGAAGTGCAACAAGCGTCCTGTTTAAACAACAAGTAAAAAAATATATAAAAAGTATTCCTTAGTACAAAAGACTAGACAATGACGGCTGAAGTTATTTTGGTCAGTGAAAATGAACAATAGTTGAAATTACAGGTAATTTTTGGTAGTATTTATGACTAGCTTTTGCCTGCGGTTTCACCTGCGTTTATATCGGTTATCGCTTCAATAAGTACCCTATATTATGCGCTGATGATGTAGCTTTCCATTGGTGAAAGCGTAACAAAGAAACGCACTTTTACATTTATGATATAAGTATGGATTCTACCTTTTAATATGAATTTCAGTTGCTGGCCGTATTTAACTGTCCAGTCTTTATAAATGAGTACAAAAGGAGACAAGAAAATCCCCTTCCAGGATTGGCCAAATATAAAAATCTTATGACGGAGCTGTCTGACGTTCTCGGTGTCAACATTACTAAGAAGTCCTCTACATTTTACTTCATGTACGACGCTTTTACCAGTCAGGTTAGCTGTTTACTAGTATTGATATATTATGCTTCATTAAAATGATTTCAGACAATCTAATATATATCTAATAAAATAGTAGCTAGTAAATTTAAGAATCAAAATATGATTTCAAATTCACAGGCGGGACATTCTGAGCACGCGGCTCTGACCTCTTCGAGTTACTGCAGTGAGACTGTCCCATTTTCCCATCCAAGATTTACATTGAATCCGTTAGGGTGAGAGAGATTTGGTAAGAAATACCGCTTAACCCTGTCTCCCTCGCTCTAACGGTTTTCGAAACCTTAATTTACATACTTGATTTATCCCCTTTGAAAACCATGTCTGTCCCAAAGATCGTACGCATCAGACAAGCAGCCCGCCTCAAAAGAACACAGCCAAAATAATAGTCAATTCACATTTGGATGACCTTATAGAAAACACGATCTTTTAGACATAAATGTTGATTAATTTATATCAATTGCAAAAGAGTTTTAATCGCTTTTAATCGATTTTTGCGTTTTGGTGTTACTGGTTAGTTGAATAAATTTTACAATTCTTATCAATCATTAGTATGTTATTTTTACAGAAGGGTCTAGGAATCCCTCTCATCCCAAGGATAGAAGAACTTCTGCCTAACATAGCAATTGCTGCCGGGGAATCTTTAGAATATATCTTTGGGAATAAAAATTATTTAAGTCTACAAGCAGGTAAAACAATATTTTTGTTAACCAATTCTGATACAGAGTTATAACCTGGACTGTTAGTATAGTGATACTAACTGCTGAGTCATGGGTTTGATTCCCATCCAAAACAAATAACTGTGTAATGCGCAGGAGCATTTATTCTATTTTGGTTCTGTTCGGTGTATTTTTTCATAATATCACAAGTTTTTATCAGTAGCACAGAGTGTGCTTAGATTGAGAGGTGTCCAGATATTATAGTATTTTTTTTTTATTTTATCCAGGTGTTCTTCTTAAAGAATTTGACCGCGAAGTTGATAAATTGCTTAAAGGAAAGGATATACCTCGGATCCGTGTATACTCTGCCCATGACATAACCGTGTTTCAATTTGCCTCTATCTTGGGCATCTCTCCTCCTATAGGAGTGCCAAAGTATGGGGCATTATTGTCTTTGGAACTTCGAAGAGATGTTGAAACTGGGCAGTATATCGTAGTGGTAAGTTTTTGTTTGACTCTTATACTTAATATAACATCTGGTACAGGAGTACAGTACAGTATTCTGGAACAGGAGAATTGATAGCATGAAAGTAGATCACCATCGCAAGTAGTGGATTAAAAAAACCGGAGCCAGAATTTATTATAAAGACATTCGAAATAAGCTAAACTAAACAGTATACTAATTTACTGTACAAACTGTTTTCCAAAACTAGTTGAACAATATTGTATCCAAATCATCTTAATACCAAGTATTGCAATTGTAGTTTAGTATTTCTATGACTACATTAGTTCATTATAGTTCTGCACTTTGCTTATTTTACTAACTATGTAAGATCAATACCCTCCCCGATGACTTGTTTTTTGATACAAATGTCGTCGATGTCTTTGTAACAGTTTGGTAAACTTTATATTTTTTATTTGTAAAAAAAAAATATATTTAATTTTCTAGATATGGCAATGTTGTTGATATTACCATAGATAACCTACATTACTATATCGACAGTCTATTGACACTGGTAATTTATGTTAGTAGAATACTGATATTTTGACCTATGTCAATGGCATCTCAATAGCGTGACAATGGAGTGACAGTAACTTGGCGTTAACATAAAATAGCAGAATTGAGGACCAGGTCGGAAATACCTCTCTCTCTCTTTTAGACATACATAACACTTATTCGCTAACTTACTAATGTTGCACACATATGCAATAGAAATCCTTTTTATATTATACTGTTGTAGCCTCTCACACAGTTTTAAACTTGAATACTGATTTATAATAGCTTTATTAATTGTTTTCTAGCCCGTATACCTCAAAGACCCTGACGCAGAAGAGATTTATCTCCACATTGCTGGATGTGACGAATTCTGTGACCTGGACAGCTTCAGAAACCTGACTTCTAAATACATGCTAGAAGAGAAAGAGTGGCGGCAACTGTGTGAATATCATGAAGACTTCGAAATTGATTCATCACCAATTGATTGAGTCAATAGTTGATGAAACATTCTAGTATGAACACACTCTCTAAATCAACTCAATCAATTGTGAAAAAGGAGTGTATTACAATGGGGCATATGTTGGACTGTACAATTTTGTCATGTTTGAACTCTGAAAGTGGTGTGTTGATATTAGGAGATTAACAACTACAGTGCCAAGGCTGCAATATTCATAATTTATTACACAAAGAGAACGTTATACAATTATTTTTATTATAAATATAATTACTTACGGATTAAGAACATGGAGCGTCACAACCCTTATTTATCCCATGGGTGTCGTAAGAGCTGACTAAGGGAGCAAACTACGCAGGAGAACAGCACTGCAAAGAGAAGGAAAACTTGAAACAAATCCCATACCAACCCGTCTGGGCAGCGTGATATAGTAGGCCAAAACCTCCTCTCTAAGGAGAAGCCATGTCCAGCAGAGGACTTCTAAACGATGATGATACTTTTTATCTTGCAATCTTATCTCTTCTGTCTTTATTTTGCTATCTGAAAGGTTTCATTTTATTCTCAATAATTATACAATTCAAAACATACATAGACAATCTTCTGGCGAATCATTACGCCATACGCACGAGCATGATATACTACGCACGGTAGGCTTGCATGTTATTATAATATTTTTAAGTCCATGACTTGACATGTTACTAATCTCTGTATTTAAATATATATCTTACATATCATATGTATCCATTTATTTTATTATACTAATTTAGTATCTATATAGTCTCTAGATTTAAATAAAAAAAAATAAAGAAAAACATTTATTATTTTTATTTTAGCTAATCAAAGTACTGGCCTAAATTATCTGTATAATTTGTCCCTTTTGATGGCAATTTGTTTATCCCTTTACTGTAGAAGTCTGCTGGACGTGGGGCCGATGAAGTTAGCAAATCGTTTTATACTGTATCTCAAGTGTTGAATTTTATCCCGCTTAAAAAATTGACTAAATTTTGAAAAAAAAGGAGAAATCTGTTGGGGCAAAGTTCGGTGAATACCGTGGGTGACGAAGAGCCTTCAGCTGCAACTCTTGTAGCTTTGAGATGGTCTGAAGTGAAGTGTGAGCTCGCGCGTTGTCGTGACGAAGCAATAGGGAAAATCGATTTACCAGTCGTGGTTATTGACGCAGTTCAATCAGCTAAACCATCACTGTTTGCAATTTTAAGCAATCGATATCTGCCATCACTGTTTTGCCACTGTGATGTACAAGTCCGGTACTGATCCACCAGACACTCACCATCATCTCTTATAAAAAAATATACCTCACGCTTTAGGAATATACCCTGTGCCAGGGGGGACTTTACAAAAATACATGAAATGGGCACAAAGATCTTCCTATGGGTAATCTTCGTTTAGCGCACTGATTAGGTACTGTACCCAGGTCCACCCTCAGAGACGAACGCTAACGTTGTCGTACAGGAATAACTTTTCATTGGAGGTTACAATTTGATTCCAAAATCCCCATCGTTTCCATTCCGATTCAGTAGTGCTATGCATGCTTCGATGCGTAAGTCTCGCTATTGGTCGCTTAGTTCGTGTGACACCCACTTATCCAGCTCTTTTATCTTTCCGATTTGACGCAAGTGCTTCAATGTTGATTTGTCACTAACTACGAAGCCCGCAGCCCGCCTTCATTATCGTCGTCGCCTTCAATTCGTCGTTGTCGACTGTAGTTACCGGCCGACCGCGAAGCACGTTCTACAACTGAAAATTTCCAGATATAAAACGATTAATAATAATAATATTTATTAATTTGACCAATACATATGTTAGTGTTTTAATTTAAAATAGATCTAAGATACACTAGAGTAAAACTTAAGTAATGATATTTTATTCTTAAAGTTTTTTTTACCCATGTATTTTTACACATGAAGGTTTTAAAATTAAGTTGAACAACTTTAATCACTGCCTGCCTGAACTAGGGTAAACCTGTATTTCAGGCGATCGCGATTGAACCAATAACGGGCCGTGTTTATGCAAGCAGTTTAAGGCCCGTACACGTCGTTAATGTTTCATGTGGTTTGTGCAACGGTATTTATAGATAGGAACTCATTTTCGAATACTGTACGAATTTTCATTTTATCTATGGCGCCAAAAACTACCACAATTTTACAAAAACAAAACACTAACAATGTGTGTATAAATTATTTAATTGAAAAATTGTCTCA